GACACCCTTGGATGATTTCAAGGGCTGGCTTGTTCCCCTCATTTCTGACACCACCCCAAGGTGGATTGAGAAAGGAGTCTACATCGAGAAGAAGGACTAGAATGTAGTTGCGCGATATTGGTTTTGATTCATCAGCAGCTCTATTATGCTATCTCAGAATGAGTCCATCCTCTGTCATCCTAAGACGGCCTACTTTGGGTCAATCATATCCCAGAAGAGCATTGACTTGGGACTCATCATAGAGCAGGTGATAGATATGAGTGCCAAGCAGAGCTAGACGTCCCTTTCATTTCTGGTCTTAATTACAGAGTTATGTCAGCGTGCTGGAGTTCCTCGTGATGAGAAGAGGGATGTCGAGGTCACTCCTACATCTTCCACTGACATTTAGAGTATAGAGGTCGAGTAAACTCAGGAGGAAGAAGACAGGAGGAGAGCAGCTCCTGTGGATGCATCCCCGGAGGTGGATGTTGATTATATATATGCATAGGCATATTTTCCTACTCCAGCCTCCGGGCCTTCAGGTACTTCCACTTACTCCCAGACTCCTAGTGCTTCTACTACTTCCCAGCTCCCCAGGATTACTCAATCCATTATCCTAAAGATGGGGCACTTAGCCCATTCTGCGGATGTGAGGGCTACCAAATTGGAGGCTGTTGTATCGTGGATGATTGAGAGTGCTATCCTAGATGCACTTACACCCCTCCGAGCATCTATTTACACTCTCACTGTGAGAGTAGAGACTTGTGAGAGTCGATAGGGGGTCCTTTCAGAGGTGACAACTTTGAAAGCCGAGGTTGCAGATCTGAGGAAGGATGTGGACTACTTAAAGTACACTGACTTCACTTCACTATTGGAGGCAGCAGATGATGTGGATGCCCCGGCTACGTTTGAGATTCATCTGGCCACCACTGGATATGTGTAGATGGATGGTGTGGCAGTTGATGAGTCAGAGGCTGAGACCAACGAGGAGCAAATTGAGGTGCTAGAGGAGACCATCTATGGAGACCTGCCAGATCTAGAGGAGACGATTGTACAATCAATTCATACATCGCTAACAGAGATGTCTATGGAAGGCCCTAGTAGAGTAAGTAGTGCTGATGTTGCACCGGGCACTGATGTCCCGACAGATGGAGCGATTGTGTAGACAGGACCCTTCCTTACCTCCCTCTGTGTCATTTTTATTGTTTTTTTAGTATTTTGCTGCATTTGAGGACAAATTGCTTTTTATTTGTGGTGGGTGAGGTATTTTCATACCTATCTCTTGTGATTATAATCTTTGTTTATTTATTGGGTGTTTGTGCTGTAAATTATGTTTTGATACTGTTTTGTGGATGTTTGAGCTTATGGCTCTTTGTTTTAATTGCAAATGGTTTTTGACCCTTCTGAAAAAATTTGCCACCTCTTGTTATGTTTGATTGTGGTTGTTCTTGTGCAAATTTGAGTATCGGTTATGAGCAATACCAATAAATTGGAGAGTGCTCTTAATTGAACAAAAATAAATGTGCGGCTGCAATGAGGCCAAATAAAGTTTCATAGACAATATGTGAAGTTTTTGCATCTCGTTGTGACTAGCCGGTTACCGAATGAGTTTCTTGTGATGACCATTGCACACTAGCGAAAGTGTGAAGTCTTGTTTGATATTGGTGTCAATGCCTTGTGTGATGAGCTTACCGTGTACCATGTGTGATGACACCTAGAATTTTTTCCGTTGGTCCAGTTGACTAATTGATGCAAGCTATTGAAATGATCTTAGGCAACAATTTTGAAGAGTGAAATAATTTGACAATATACCTCTTTTGTGGCCAACCTTGTGAGGGTGTGAACCTTGCTTAAACTCCCTTTTTGAGCCTTATCCTTTTCTTGGAAGAAACTTGATGCAATTGTAACCCTTTTTTATCCATTCACACATAATCTTCATGAAGTGTGGTTTGTTTAAATAGCCAACTTAGGCCAAAATCCTAAGTTGGGGGTGTGGTGAAAGAAGAAGGTAAATCAAGAAGTTGAAAAAAGTCCCCCTTTGATCCATGGTTTTGAAAAATATAGAACCCCTCCATACAAAACAAAAGAGAAAAGAAGAATGAAAAAGTTGTGGAATAAAGTTGTGAAAGTTGCAAAAGAAATGGGGTGTCCGATATTCCATGAAAAGTGAATAATGGGGTGAATTTTGAGCATGAATGAAAATGTTGAAGAAAAGGAAAGAAAGTGATGTTCATACCACATTTCATGAAGATAGTAGCCACTGAGCCTAAATGACCATACCTTTTCACTTTGCCCCATTACAAACCCTGAAAAGACCTTTTTGATCTTGAGTGAGCTGAAGTGAATGTTGATTGGAAAATAACGGCAAACCTATGGGTGAAGTCATCATGTGTTCATCTTTGTGAGTGTGAGAGTTGTATGTGATTCCAGAGCTATAAATTGTTGAACAATTGTGTGTCAATATAGAATCATCTTTGTGTGAGGGCATTTGAGTACTTTTGTTGACCTTGAACTTGCATTTGAAGCAAGTATCCTGAACTTGAGAATCTTTGATAATGGTGAGTCAGAACTTGAATCTTTGAGTCCACAATTGATCCTTGCATTAGTAAGTTAAGTCTTGTTGTGTGCATTCATAATTGAGTCTTTTGTAGCACTGTTTGAGACATCCTTTTTGAACTATTAAACTTGAGTTTTACTTGAGGACAAGCAAAAGTATAAGTTGGGGGTGTTGATGAGTCTGAGATTTGGACTCATTTAGAGCTTTATTTATATAGATTTAGTGTCCTCAAATGCTTATTTTGTGCCAATAACTTATGTAAAACCCTTGATTTCCAGGTATATGGATTGAGGAACAAAGTCAGGACACTAATTTGCAAAAAGGAACAAATCAAGCTAAAAGAATGAAGAAAAGCATGTCTGGTGATCGTCAAGTCCACTTGGTGAGTCGCCGAATGGCTACTTGACCGCCTAAAGTTCCAGTATGCCAAGCCCTGAAGGAAAGAACCAAGTTGGCGAGAGAAATGAGCAGTCGGCGGATCACCGAGTGGTTCCGCGATGCAGTGTTGGATCGCCCAAAGTTACAGACCTTGAGGATGCTGAAGGCAAGGCAGAAAGGCGATGGTAATGACCAAAGGGCGGATCGCCGAGTAGTTCGGCAAGCCCGACTTACTTCGCCGAGTGACTCTTCGCAACACATTTTTGGCGACTACATTTTTGAACATTTAGTTTAGGATCTATCTATCATCTATCTGATATCATAATATTTAGTCTATTCTTATGTTTTGAACCGTGAGACAAGTTTTCTCTAGTTTTCCTTAGCTTTGAAGAATTGAAGTTTTTCACTTTTGAGAAATTGGAAGTGGGTCTTTGAGATTCTTCGAATTGGATCATTGTAAAGACGAAATCAATCTTACCCAGTCGATGGAAACTCAATTTGGTAACAATTTTTATCTTTTTATGATGTCTAGCTAAAACACCAATTCTTGGGGTGTGATTATGTGGTTATGGGATGATTTAGTTTATGAGTATTGTTAATTGTTAGTTTACATGTTGTTTAGAAGTGAGTTCAATCATTAATTGTGGTTTAATTTAAGAATTGTAGTTGCAAATGAAGTTCTACCCTTATGTTTTTGGCTTGCGAGAGAGAGAGATTTTAAAACTAAGTTTATTGATTGATGGTTTGTGGGTATTGGGTTGCCATGGGTTCAGCTCGAGAGAGTGAATCCTAAACTCAATTTCACACATTTAGTTCGAGAGAGTGAATGGACTAAGGTGTAGGTTGTTCTTATTTTGCATGCTTGTTGATGTTCAAGGCAAATCGACTTGATTCGGAGTAAATTGTTCGAGAGAAAGTTTATCTCCTCTATAGTCTAGCTTTTTTCTTTTTTTCTTTTTTTTAAATTTGGAACATTAAGCTCTTTTTATTCAATAATCCATTATGTACAAACATATGCTGATCCACAAAATAGGACCAGTCCCAAACAGGAGCTCAGTCCCCAAAAATGCAATTTTAGGCGTTTATGACAAGACCCAAAACATAGGGTATCTAAATTATGTTCTTCATCTTCCTTCATTTCCGATCTCCTCCGTCAGCTCACCAAGGTATGTTGTTTATTTTCCCATTTCTGATTTCCTCCTTTCTCTTCTGGTGTATCAGCTCCTTTCCTTTTATCATTTTGACTCTCTCTTTGCAGTCAATGAAGATACCACTGTTCTTATCGTCTTTCCTTTTGGAATTCCCGTCCAACCATGGCTCTGTGATTCCCCATTCAAGCTCGAGGACCTCATTTTGTATGGAAAAACTTTAAGTAAGTTGTCGTTGTCTAGCTAGGTAGCTTTGTATTCTTAGTTGTGTAAGCCCTTTGTTGGCAGACTCTTCTTCTGTAAATAACATTGCTGTGAAATCTGTTGAAGACAATGCATCTGATGTACATCATGTTCTTGTTTATCTAACTTGTGCTATGATTTTTCTTGCCTTTATCCTTATTGTTGGAATGTTTGACTTGTCTGCGTTCAGTATCTTTCTGCATTTCGAAGGTAGCTGCTGAAAATTATGCCATTTTGTCCTATTATTTTGCCTGAAAGCTTCATTGGCTAAACTGTCTGCTAACTGGTTTGCTTCCCTGAATATGTGGTTGATTCTTGCATTTGTTTCTCTTAGTAGAACTTGTATGTCTTCTAGATCCTCTATATGACTCCAAGGAATTTTCCCTTCTCTCTGAATCATCTTAGTTAAACTCAATGAATCTGTTTCCACAACAACATTAAATGTTGTTGTGTTTACAATATTTCAAAGCACAGAGAATACCCCTGATTCAGCCTCCATACTTGTTCCTTGTCCAATATTTTGTGCTTCAGCATATAGTAGATCACCTTCATTATTTCTGATGCAGAAGCTATATGAGCTTTCCCCCGGATTACCTCTGCTTGCTCCGTCTGTGTAACATTTTACCCAACCCATTGGTGGATTATTCCAGGAAACAACATGATAATGTAGTTTTGGTCTGTATCTTTTTAAGACCTCAACTAATCCTTCCCAACTTTTTTCGAACATTAATCCATGGCAACAATGTCTTTGTTCGTTGAAAAACGTTATTTTGGCACTTCTGATAAAGCTCCCCATATGTCACCTCTTTCCCATTTCTTCTTGCATTCCTTCTTTTCCACAATTCCCACATTAATATTGCTGGTATTGCTTGAAAGATTGTTTTCAGTTTAGGCTTATTTGTTGCTTTCCACCACCATGTGATTATTTGTTGTAGTCCTCCATCAGTTCTGATACCTGCACGAGTAGTAAACTGCTTCCACAACTTAGTAGCTATGGGAGCTATTAGAAATAGGTGAATCATTGTCTCCTGTTCATAGTTGTTGCAACAATAGCATCTTGAAGCCATGCTAATTCTCATTCTTTAAAGATTGTCTTCTGTAGCTATTCTTCATTTCCAACTTCTCCATAGGAGAAAATTGATTCTGAAAGGAACACCCCTGCTCCAAATGTTATTCCACCATCACCCTTTCTCTTTTTTGTGTCTTAAACACTCATAGGAAGACTTCACAGTAAAGGTTCCACAAGAGTTGCCCATCCACCATGGCCTATCCATTGCACATTCCTCCACTTTGGGTCTGATATTCTCCAGGATGTGTTCAATCATCTCTTCTGAGAGTAATTCTCTAGTTTATTTCTATCCCATTCCCCATTTACTATGAACTTTCTTACCTCTACTTCTTCTTCCTCCACATTCTGGTCCTCAATGTAGTATAATGCTCCCTGTTTTGTCCAATTATCAAACCAAAAACTTGTTTCTCCTATTTTGATTTGCCACCATATATAATGGTCCACCTCTTCTGTAACTTCCAACATTTTCCTCCATACATGAGACGCACCAGTACCTTTGGCAATAAGAGGATGATGTTTTTTGCAATATTTATTCCACATGAAATTACTCCATAATGATGTGGATGTTCTAAATGTCCACCACAGTTTTCCAAATAGAGCTTTGGTGATTTCATGCAATGATCGAAATCCAATTCCCCCTTCCTCCTTAGGGTAGCACATATCCTCCCATGCTAACCAATGTTTTCCTTTTCCTCCACCTGTTTTGCTCCCAAAAAAGCCTGCAAAAATCTGATGCAATTAGTCTATAGTTTTCTTAGGGGGATTCATAGCAGAGAGTAAATAAATAGGAATGGATTGCAACACATTCATTATTAGTATGAATTTCCCCCCATAAGATAACCATTTGTTGTGCCACATTAACACCTTATTTTTAACTTTTTTTCACCAGTTCTTCAAAATAGGCTTTCTTCTTTCTGCCATAGTACACTGGGCAACCTAGGTAGGTGAAAGGAAAGTTTCCATGTCTTATTTCTGTCATGCTCCTTAGTCTTACCCCTACAATTAGAGGTGTCTTGTCATGTAGGTAGAAAATGCTCTTGTTTAGATTGATCACTTGCCCCGAAACCATCTCATACTTCTTAAGTACATCCACCATTTTCCCAATTGACTTTTTGTCCCCTAAGCAAAAAAGGATTGTGTCATCAGCATATGATAAGTGGTTTATAGGAGGACTCCATTTAGGAATTCTGTATCCCTTAAAATTTGCCTCTTCATGCAGTTTATTTAGTCCCCTTGCCAATACCTCAGCTGATATTATAAATAGAGTTAGAGATAAAGGATCACCCTGTTTTAGTCCTCTTGAGGATTGGAAGAAACCAAAGGCCTTTCCATTCACCATCACAGAGTACCAATTATTGGTGAGTAAACGCCAGACCATATCTATGATAATTTCTGAAAATCCAAACCTCCTTAATACCTTAGTGAGGAACACCCAAGATACTCTATCATACCCCTTTGCCATATCAAGCTTAACCACCACATTATGGAACTTCTTTCTTAGATTAATGTCTCTAATAATCTCTTGTGCTAGAAGAACATTCTCTGTAATGCTTCTTCCCTTTACAAATCCCGATTGATTCTTCGATATAATGCATGGAAGTACTGTAGCAATTCTTTCATGTAACACTCTAGAAATGATCTTGCTAACAAACGTACATAGGCTCACTGGTCTTAAATCTGTTAAGCTTTTCACATTTTCTCTCTTTGGTAGAAGAATCAAATTGGTGTGTGTGACGAACCTTGGGAGTTCTTGCCCACAGAAAAAGGCTTTAACCATTCTTATTATGTCTTCCCTAATGATATCCCAACAGCTTTGAAAGAATATGCCCAAAAAATCATCAGGTCTGCTTGTGCTGTCTCCATTTAGATTGAAAACCACATGTTTTACCTCTTCAATGTTAGGAACCCGGCCTATCTCTTCATTTTTTCCAGTGGTGATCATTTTTTGTATCACATTCAACATTCCTTCATCTTCTGAGACCCTCTCTTCCTTGAATTGATTCTAAAGAAAGATATTGCCTCTGCCCCAATATTCTAACTTGAGTTGACGATATCCCCTCTTCCGTTTGTATTTCTGCCAGGTGAAGCCTCTTTCTCCTTCCTTTAACATAATTATGAAAGAACCTCGTATTTCTATCTCCATCTTGGAACAATTTCATTCGTGCCTTTTGCCTCCAAAACTCTTCCTCTACATGAAGATACTTTTTTAATTCCGCTTCTGACTTCTTCAATTCTTCTCTATTCTCAAGAGTTGGGTTCACTTCTAATTGAATTTCTTTGACCCTTACTTCATCTTCCAGTGTGGCTACTTGTCGAAATATATTTCCAAAATTCTCCTTGCTCCAAATTGCTAGTGCCCCTTTTACTTTTTTTATCTTTGTCTGAAATTCAATGAAAGGATTCCCGACAAAGTCTATTTTCCAATTTTCCTCTATAACTTTCTTAAAATCTGGATGTTTTGTCCAAAAGTTTAAGACCTTGAATGGTTTCACCACAGGCTCTTCCTCCGAGTTGCAAACCAGGTGAAGAGGGGCATGATCAGAACCCTGCATCACTAAGTGTTGAACTGCACTTGTTGGTAGCCAGTTGAAAAATTCTTGGTTACCTAAGATTCTATCAAGCCTCTTGAAAATGCACTCCCTTTCAATTCTTCCATTCCACCATGTAAATCTACTGCATGTGCACTTTAATTCCATTAGAGCCCAATTATTTATGCATTGACTAAAATCTAAAGCCTCCATTTGAGTAAAATTCAGGCCTCCTCGCTTCTCTTCTTCATTTAAGATGACATTAAAATCACCCCCCACTATCCATGGGAGATTATTTTCCTCTGCAACAGCCTCTAGCTCCTCCCATAGCTCTAGTCTTTCAATAGCAGCACATCTCGCGTAAACTGTTGTTATCAGAACCTCAAAGCTATTTCTACTGAATTTCACTGTGAGGTGTTGTCCATTGTCTCTAACTACTTCCCCTTTCCAATTATCTACCCAGAATAACCAGATCTTATCTGAACTGTTACAATAAGCATTCTCCATCCCTAACTTTCTTTTGTATTGTTCTAATTCTTGTGGTCCCTGAAAAGGTTCCATGAGAGCTATAAAATTGTATTTATGTCTTTTATTTAGGTCCCGTAATCTTTCAAAGGCCTTTTGAGATTTTACGGACCTAATGTTCCAGAAGATGGCCTTTCCAATCATTGGGAAATTTCTTCCGATCTTTCCCTGCTACTTCTTGTTTTAACCAGTAATGGTAGTGAATGTTGACTTGGTTTGCCCCTCTTGATAGCACTTTCCAGCAATCTGACTTGTCGTGGTGACAAGTCACCTTCTCTTGCAACTGCCTCTATGTTTTCATTAAGCTCTTCTTCCTCCTCTCGCTCTCTTCTCCGTTGTACTTCTGCATCAGTGATTTCCTCTAGATCCGGAATGCTTTTCATATGTACACCCTCTGTTTCATTTTTTTTTTACCCTGTTTCATCCTCCTTCTCTTTTCCTACGTCGCCCTGCTCACTTTCTTTGTAACCAGATCCCATATTACTACTACTTGCGTCCCTCTCATCTCCCCTATCTTTTAGTATGGGGCTTCGCTCCACCCAGCTATTCGAACTCGCCCTTCCCTTTTCTTTTTCTTTCACTTCTACTCCTTCCCTGTCGTTTGTGCCACTTCCTAGAGTATTCTCTTCCTCCCCATCTTTTGTGCTACTACCCAAGACACCTATATTCTTGTCCTTAAAAGCCTTTTCTACCCAACTCCCTGTATTCATCTCTGTTCCCTTCATTTGTTGCTCAATTTGTGTTTCCCTAGTGTCTTCATTTTCATTTAGCGCTCCAAATTGATTATCAGTGGTAATTCCCTGCTTTTCTTGTTGCACCATCTTTCTAGTCCATATTTGCTTTCCTTGAACTGTCCATCCTCCTTCTTTGGTATTTTTCTGTTCTTTGATTTCCCCTTTTCCATTTTGTTTTGATTGTTCTTCCTTTCTGGAAATAAATTTCCCCTGCGCCCCTTCCTTCTTTTCTACTTTATTCGTTGTCTCCTGGTTTTCGTTCTTTCGCTCGGGCTTGGGGTATAGTTCTGGGTGAATGACAAAACATTCATCTTCATTATGCCCTTGTATTTTGCAATTTTTACAATATTTTGGTACGTAGTCATACTTAATTCTAATCCATGTCTCACATACTTCTCCTAATTTTTTCCTCATACCTACATTGATTCTTTTTGGGAAATCACTCAATAGATCTACCTCAACCTTGACTCTTGCACAACTCGGCCTTGTTTGATTCCTCATGGCTAGGTCAACTTGTAAAGGTTTGCCTACCGCTGCTGCAAGTGAAAACACGGCCTCCTTTACAAAAAAATTGGGTGGTAACGCCGGGAAGGAGATCCATGCAATTGCTATAGACGTTTCTTCCTCAGGGTCAAACAACGGATCCCACTTTAAGGTTCTCATTGGGTATGTCCATCCCTTATGTAGTAAGTAATATGCAGGCTTGGATAGCAAATTTACGTAGTCCTACAAGCATGATGCCCTTATTAGCACATGCATGTTGCTCAAAAGGCCAATATTGCATTCCCCCTTCAACTCACATTGTTTTGGGATTATTTTTCGAAGATCTTGGATCTCAGGCCATCCATAAGAAAATTTTCCAATGACCGCAAAATTGAGCTTTTCCTTGATGATCATTGTTTCTATTTCCTCTTCCTCCCATAGAACCCTTGGTTCTCCGTGTAAATATGAAATTGGCTTCAATGTTAAAGGTTTCGTCTCCTGAATTGGTGGGCATAGCGTGTCAAGGTAACTTGGCTTAGGAATGAGTTTTCCATCTCCTAGAGCAAGATCAACCCCAGTGGGAGGCTGACCTGGTGAACTGGTGGTCATTACCACCGGAAAAGAGAGAAAACTTAGGTTTACCGGCGGCTGTTGGTTTATCTCCACAAAATAATATTAATGAACTTCTCCCTCTATAGTCTAGCTTACTCACTAACATTTAGATATTTTCTAATAGTTTCAATTACCCATTTGTCTATATTAGCCTATAATCAAATCACATCCCAAGAACCTGTTTCATTATTGTAATTTTGTATTGTTACCACTGTTTGTAGTTAATAATTTCAAACCAAAACCCCCCATTTGACATTCGTGTCACCCCTTGATTTGAATAATGTCTTAATTCGATAATTTATATTCCTATGACTAATTTGACCATGTTCACACTTAACTATTGAATCTCAAACACGTACCACTCCCTGTGGGATTTGACCCCAACTCATTTAGTTGGGTTTTATACTGACTAGTGATCGTTGACACGTAGAATTGGATGAAGTGTCCTTGAAACGTTAATCAATGATATAGACTCGGATTGTGATAGTTGGTGAGTCCTCATAAGGTGACTTCATAATGTAATCAGTAGTTAGTTTTTACGTCAGATAATACTCATTTTGAAAGTAGCTGAGGTCTATGTCCCATCATATTTATTTCATTTTAGTTGCTATATGCTTACATTAAAACATTAGTTATTCAATACTCTTCCACGGATTTGTAGTTTATGTCTTAAATTTAAGCATATCTTTACCTAGCTATGTTTCAACTTCCACTTACATTATATAGAATGTTCAGTTATTCATTAACACTATGTCAGTATCGAAGATCCGCCTTGGATATTTATGATCTTAAGTGTTGGTCACACCTAGTATATAAATTATGATCGTGACATATCTTCAGGGGAACTTTCTTATGCAAAAATAAATTCTACTTCACATATTGAGGCTGAAGCTAAAGCTATTTTAGAAGCATGTAGACGTTGACAACAAACCCTATATATTGAGGTAATTATAAGATTGATTCTACGCTTTATAAGCAAGTAATATAAGGGGTTTGAAAACCCCCATAGATTATTGCAACATTGATACAAAAAATTCAGATAATTTAGAAAATAGACAAGCACAAATTTAGCATATTCTAAGAAAAGGGAATAAGCTACCTGACTCCCTACCTAATCAAGCATTAGACAAAGAGATGACATAATCTATGGATTCTAGGAGATAGAAACATATGGAAGGAAACACATCAACATGGACGAGCTTCAGTGTCATACATAAGAGTTGCATTAGTTACTAAATGAAAACTTTCCAAAAATTTAGGATATAATATAAGACTATTCACATAAAGCATATTTACAAAGATATTTTTTCCACAAGAGAAATAATACCCTGAACAAGATAACTAGCCTAGACTATATCAGTCAATAAAAAGTTTTCAAACTTTTAGTTTTTAGATTTCTTCTCTGAAACGAATTTGAATCCCCCAGGGGCCATGTCACCCATTCCTACAAGTTATAAAATATACAATAAATCTATGAAAAACATTCTTTCGAATAATAAAGTTCTATTAATCAAGATGATTGATAGGTTGATACAACAATCAACATTTATTACTTAATAATTTCATTGCTTATGATATATAATAATGAAGAAACAACATGCTGAATAATTATTTTTGGAATCTACTATATGAAAGCTTCAGTCTAGGGACTAAAATTAGTTGGTAAAGTCGAAGAACTAGCCACATTCATTTCAGGTGCAATTTTTGGATCTTCATTCTTTTCAATCTCTTGATTCAATTTTGTGAGATCAATCTCCTTAGTCAATTGATTTTCAAATTCTGTGAGCCCTTCGTACAACTTTAGAAGACTTCCCAAATAAGGAGACTCATAATCTTCTGATTGTCGATGTGTAATATTATCTTCAACGGATTTTCCTTTCTCCTTATTTTCTTCTTCCTTCTTTTTCATCTTCATATAAAATCGAGGTGCGGTTGGATGGTTGGCCTCTAAAAACTGATGAATAACAGACTCTGCATCAGGCTTTCCAAATACAATTGGTTGACGATCAATGGAGAGGATGATGATAGCGATCTGAATTCCACATAAAATGGAAATCTCATTTGCTTTTTTGAACAAAGCTTTTTGCATCTTTGAAATTTTACCACCCTCAGCACGTTTATCTTTTGCAAGTGCTAAATCAACATTAGAATTCTTGGATTCCATGTCTACAACAAAGGAGATGGAAAAACACAATAATTTCTTGCCCAATGTTTAAAAAAAATTTAACCAGAATGAATATATGTTCAACCCAAACCTTCAAATTTATAGAGATTTCCTTCTGTGATTTGACTTTCAGATTCTAGAATTTATTCCCAGGGTAGTTCAAGAGTTAATATTTACGAAAATCTCCCTTATTGTTTGAAAACATAAAGTTACCTCCTCTCTATTTTTTTTCAAATAAAAAATTATCGAAAATGTTGAAGTCTTGAAAAAATATATACAAATTACTTGCATTTATCCTTACTAATATTAATCATTATACATAATCGTTCCATATTTTATTAATTTCTAATTTTATTTTTGCCTTTTAAATCTAATCAAAAAGAAAAATAAATTTGTCAATGAAAACTATTTTATTAAAGGATTTCCAATATTAAATAAGCGGAAAATCAGACTAAACTAAAGGCAATCATTATATATAATTGAATTACAAAATAAATATAAAGCTTTGGTATTCCTTATAAATGATTGTCAATTACTTTGATTTTTTTATGCAATGTTATTGTTCTTTAGTTTGAGAAGAAATTTTAATATTAAGAGATTTGTCTCTTCTTCTTCCATCAATTATCTTCTAAAGAGAGGTCATTGCAATAAGATTTTCATAAGGGGGACTCCGACATAATTTTAAAGCTAGATGGGAGGTAAGTGCAATTATGCATAACTTGTGAATATTACCTTAATTTTCATCTTCAGAGTAGAAATATAGTAGATTATCTAAATCTTCATCTATTAATTAGATTGTCAATTTGTAAAAGTCAATAAAATAAATAGGAAAAAAAATATTCTAGTGACATGCTTATTCAATTAGGAATTATATTTTTCTCATAAACCAAAAATTCACATCGTGATGGCACCAATCCCAATCTCAATCCCACATATTGATAAGGCAACTCTTCAATTACCAATCATTTAACAAAAATTATAAAATAGAAATTATATAAGAAGCAAAAATAAGTGCTACACAAAATTTATCACTAAATTCAATTAGAATGTGGAAAATAACTGTAATGCCAAAGACATAATAAGATTCTTTTTGTGACTTTTACCTCTTTTATTGTCTTTTCAATAACTTAAGTTATCTATTAATGATTCTTTTTTATTTGACTTCCTTTTCTTTTTTACAAATCATAATCTATGGTCATAATGACACTAACCTTAATACCTATGTAGATAAGCGGCAGTAATTAAATAATAACATAAATAATCCTCCAAAACCTGAATATTTCATAATAAAGTAAGACTACTAAAATATAACCATCCAAGACTGAATGTTAGTCTTACAAGAGCTTTCTAAAACAAAAAACAAATCATGTATAATAAATTCAATTGTCTAACAACTAAAAAGACATACTTTACGTAGAAAAAGATTTGCCAAGTTTTCAGACACAAGGAACTCCCCATAACAACGAATAAATTACCACCTCAAACAGATTAGGATATGTCTAGATAGCTCATTCCAGAATTTGCATCATAAAATTGTAACGACCCGAACCGTCGTTATTTAGGAGAAGCGAAACACCAGGAAAATATTGGAGCCACTTTCCGCCAGGGCGGGCTAGATGCCGCTAGGGAGGTAGCGCCACAACGGGATAAGTAGCCACCAGAGCGGGATAGGCGAGACAGAATGTAAATAACACGAAGTCAAATTTTCTCCTTTTTCCTAAAACACCCAAAAGAGGTGTGGATCACCCCAGAAACCCTCCAAAAGCTGCTCTAAGCTTGGGAGACAAGGATAAAGAGATTTCTAGCATGGGGATCGTGATAGCTTGCGGATTTCTGGTCAAATCCTCTATCCCGTCGTCCGAAAACCAGAAATTTATCTATAATGCCTCTGTGAATTCTTGGCGCCCAGGTAGGCTACGTTTTATTAATTGAGTAGTTACAAATCTGGTATTTACTGCGTGATATATTGATCTTGACAGTAGATTTCATTGTAGGCTTTCGTGCACCGAAAAGAGAGTGTTTGTAATTGTACCCTAGGGTTACATCAGGTGTATAACGTATGAGGAAGCCTTGGTCAATGAATTAGGGAAAGGAGATGGGTTGACTTCCTAAGTGTGATATTGATATTGACTTATTGTAATATTGTTATATGCACGTATGAATGAATGATAAATGGTGGAAACAAACCTAATAAATTTGATCAAGAATAATGCATGCCACGAATTAGTGTTTGGTTGCACAACTTGAGTTTTGTACAATTATGGATATGATTGTGATTGTGATTGTACTAACTGGGATCGGATGTCACGCATCGGCATACATATTTGGAACAGGTGTCACGATCTGACATACTAACTTGGAACGGATGTCACGTACCGACATACATATTTTGAACAGGTGTCAC